CCATTGACCAAGGCCTTCACATACAATAATCTCAAATACTTAGTTAATTTCATGGCTGGTCTTTTAAATATAACCTTCTCAGCAGCAACTATTTCCACTTCCTATTTGTCCTCTGTTGAATTATTTCCTCATGATAATTCAACATGCAAAATGTCACACTGAACTTATTCTTCTTGAATTATCTCCTTATCATTCTCCAAAGTTTCTTCTCCATTTCTAACCTGTGGGAGGATGCAATATTCTGGAGGTGATCCATACTTTTCAGAGCGTTGTACTCTCCTTTTCCCCTTGGGCGTCCTGTACAGCACATAATAATCGAAAGAACGTCCAGATGGTTTTCCCAACAAGTCCAATTCACGGACTCCATCTCGTTGTAGCTACTTCAACAAAGTATTGCTCGATACATCTCTTTTTCTTCTCTCTGCTTCTAGATCAATTTCCTCTTCAATGTCCATCATACCATTATCATCTTCCTCATTGTGTACCCCTGTAGAAATTTGGTCTTCTTCACATTCCAGCACACATGCTTCTTCTCGTTATCTTCCCTTTTTTCCTCTTTTTTCTCTTTGTTTTTGAACTCATTGGCTAGTAAATAGTTATTAGCCATGACGGAGGTAACATACCGAACTGAATAGTAAGAGGCTGATCTGGATCTATTTCATCCCTTCTGTCTCTCTCAAACTTTAATCTCCTAGAAGAACTTTCTGCCAGTTCTTCCATTGATTTACCTGTACTAGTCTTTCTATTGTCTTTTAGAACATTTTGATTGGCCACCTTGAGTAGTTTAGGCGGCTTTGGACGTGACAATCCCTGTTGTTGTCTCATCATTCATCCATAATTTCGTTGAAACGCATTTGTTGGGTTCTAGTCATCTTGTTAAAAGGTATCACCCTTCCTGCATTATATTGGAATGAATGCCATACATTTGGTTGGCGAGGTTGCGGCCTAAATGTCCTCAAATTATTTATTGGCCTGAACTGCTTCTCAAAAAGCGGTCTTCTATAGAATGATGTACCTCTCCCTCTAACAGGCTGGGTGTTTGGGACAAAATCAGGGCGTTGGTGATGTTGCCTTACTCTCACTTTCTCTGTTTTTGCACTCACTTCTCCTTTACATCTTGCACACAAAACGTTTTCATCCTTTCTAGGCTCCTTCCATTTGTTACGTTAAAAAACGCTAGGATGTGGCTCAGGGTCTTCTTCCCCGTCGTCGATAACCAATTTGAATCTTGGCAACTTATTTTTAAAACTAGTCGTTACCATGTTCACCCCAAGTAGCCGTGGGAAAGGGTTTTCATCCACTGCCATCTTCTTCTTATCCTCGAACGTAATTCGTCCTGATTCAATAGCATCCTGTAACACATGGAAAATTGTTAGTCAAATGTGACCGTGTATTATGCCACTTACAATATTTTTTACCCTTAATTTGTTCAGGGCTTGGCAACTTATATTTATCGTTCAACTTTAACTGCTTATCCTTTATATAATTTATCAAATATAAGGTCAGTTTTAGTTACATCAAACTAGAACGTCCTAGCCTTTTTATTTTCATCTTTTATAGGCTTGTCCTTACCAAACGCTCTAGGTTTGGCCATTATAGGACAAATATATGCATCTTCTTTGATTAACTCGACCAAACATACTTCGATTTGATCGTAATACTCGTCATTAATGGTATGAACATAAAAATTTGGGTCTCTATAATAAGTCCCCTTGCTAAAATTTTTCATTTGCTCTTCTTCTATTATTAAACATTCATACCTAATCACGTTTGTACTCAATTGGAAAAGATCAGGAAATTTCCTATCTTGAAATTTCTTTTTCAAATCAAAGTTTAGACGACTTTCAGCGATTTTGACAAACTCTTTTTTGGGCAAAGGTACAAAATGTTTACTTNGGTAAAGGCACAAAATATTTACTTCTTGCTGTCTTGAACCTTTAAAGGAAACCTTCTGCCCATTCGTTTGGCATTTGACGTAAATTCGTCAAATCGGCCAAGGTAACTTCAGACCCAGTCTTATAAAACTGAGCATGGAGCGATTGTTCCAGTTGTTGCCATGTTTGAACGGAGTTTGCTGGCAAATTGATGAATCAAGAGAAAGCTACTCATCTTAATGAATTAGGGAACAAACTCATCTTATGGTAGTCAGTCACTTCACCACTTTGCAGTGTGAATCACCCTATATTTTCTAGAGTAGACACTTCTCTTAAACCGGTGAATAATGAGAATTCTGGTACTTTGTACCCTCTAGGACATGGATATGCTTAGTCTACCCAATCAGGATATGATTTTGTGTAAGTCGGCCTAATGACATGACGTGCTCCAAAAGCCATTTGATCTCGTACTATTTCCATAATTTGATTCCTCAACATGATGTTGGGGTCATATGGAATTCCTACAGGTTGGTTGATTGGTTGAGTTACCTAAGGCCTAACATTTGGTACTTGGTTTGCGACAAAATTGTCAGTATTTGGGCCATTGTTACAGTTAGCCTGAGTATTATTCTATCATTAACACACGGTGTATTTTGTCTATTATTCAAGACATTTTCTATTATATTTAGGTTAACCCCCAAGTTTGATATACCATTACCACTATTCAGATTTGGCACAACACCACCCCCCTGATTTGAAGTAGATGGACAAAAAGGTGGTACTATCCTTAGATTTAGACTAAGGACAGGAAAATTAAGTATTTAACTTTCAGATTTGGCACTACACCACCCCTTGGTTTGAAGTAGACGGACCAAAATGTGGTTCTATCCCTTGATTTGGACTTAGGGGAATTATGTCCTACAATCGTCCTATTTTGGAAGTGATTTGTAATAGGCACAACTAGTTGACAAATTTGGCCTACTAACTTGTTCATTATTTCATTTAACGTATTCAGTTGTTTGGTCATGTTGTCATAAAGTGCATTCCCATTCTGGGTAAAATGTTTCCATATTATGAACATTTCGTAGATTTACATGTTCAACGCCATCCTATGTGAGTTCTCCAAGCAATGCACGTATGGTTCGAAGACTCAACTCGTCATTGGTTCGCAACGACTGTGACTGCTTTGACTCTGTCTCTCTATTCGTGGAGAGCTTTGCTGCTCCTCATATCGCTCGATCACAGACTGGACTACTACTTGACTTGCTGGTTCCTTATCAGACTTATGAAACATATTGTTTCACTTTTTGTATCCTCAAACACCAAACACCAAGGTCCCACTGGGCGGGTTGTCGCTAACAATTAAAAAAGTATTCAGACGATTGTGTAAGGAACATAATTCTTGAGACAAAGTCCCAAAAATGAGTGTTTTATTGGCGATGATTTACAATTGGAAATAAACAGAAGTGTTTAAAGTTAAACTAAGAAATTGAAATTACATATTCTCTGTTTAGAGTGTTTGATTTGGGGGTCTTTTTCTCTATATCTTTTCTTCCTTATTATACTTCCTTGACAATTCATTCATGACAAATCGTTTGGAAACTGCTTGATTGCTCTATAACTACCCAATTTCTTTATGATGACTGACTTGTCGTGGAACTGACGTCTCTAACTGTTGTCATTACTCTCATCCTTCAACCGCCTACAGCCGTGATTCTTGGATCATGGAGTGTGATAAAGTTGCTCAATAACCGCCTTAATGACTGCTGCTCTGGATAACCATAATACCTTATATTTGCTAAAATCCTTGACGATTCTAAAGTTTGGGTGAGAATATGCTCGTTCGCTCTGGGCGATTTTAAGGCACTCCACTCGCTCAGATCTGGGCGTCTTGCAAGTTTGGGTGCTGATGGTACCTTGTTCGTGGGCGTCCACTACATTCATTAATGATCCTAGTGGGGCCTTCATCCTGGCTTCTTGATTGGGTTTCATCCTTTGGACTACTCGATTTGGACTACATTTTTTGTATGTCAACAATTACATATTTGATGTTACCCACGACTTTTCAATCACATATTTCGTTAATTTTTTTATCAAAATTTACTAAACTCTAATTTTAAAACCCATCCAACAGGGAGTTAAGTTGTATTTCAACTTATTTTTATTATTAGGGAGTTAGTCTTACAATTTGTTACTAAAGTTCGTGTTAAATTTCAAATGGGTCCTTCAAAAATATTTATAGCCTAATTAGTCACTAAAGTTATTTATTTTTTCAACAAACAGTCTTTTATTTGTGAAAATAACGTCCAATCTTACACAACACTGGTTAAATGTTTCGATATTTCACATTTGTTGCTATTTTATTGTTGTTGATTGACTAGGGTTAGGAATTTAGAGTTAAAATAAGAGATGACGTTAGAATTTTAATTTTTTTGGCCCACCAATTGTAATTAATAACAATTATTTTATTTTGACATTTAACGAGCATCACTTAGGATTGGATATTGCTTTTACGACTTGAGCAAATAATTAACTTTAAGATCCTATTTGTTTCGGATTAAAATCATCTTTCACGGGTTCTATAGCTTTTCAATCACACATTTGAAAATTTCTATTACAATTTATTAAAAATGTAATTTTAATCCCTATCAGATGCACACTAGGAGCCCGTTTGGTAGAGATTAAAATCGGATTAAAGTTGAAAAATTAGCCGTTATTGTTGACTTTTATTAGACGAATGTGGCTCAATAACGACTATATTTTCAATTTTAATTGGATTTTAATCGATACCAAACGGGCTCTAAATAGATAAATGGGTTAGAAAACTACTTTAAAGACCAACTTGGAATTTTTCGTAAACATCAGCGTTCATTTGTGAAATTAACTCGTTTAACAGCTGTCACTCCATGAGACATTTGAAGTTACTTCCACGCGTCTACCCTACAGTATTTCCCCCTCCGGTTTTCTACAGTTTCAACTAAACCGTTTCATTATATGACTGAATACCGCACCGAATTCCAGTAATACCTTCATGGATTCCTCTGTTTTTCGATAGATCAAATTCAAAACTTACCCTAAATTACAAAGAAATTCGGGGTGTATTGAAGCTCTCAAATTCATCCAACGATGGCGGAAAATTCAACTCCATCATCATCATCACCCCCAAAACCCTCCTTGCAGCCATCAACAAATCAGATGAACATGATAATTGAACCAAATTCGCAACATTTACAGGGTTTGCCGCCCACCACTTCCAGTCTTGCCATCACCTCCCCTTCTCTTGACCAGCAAAATCAACAACAAATGGCGCAATCCCAGCCGCAGCAACAACAAATGGTACAAACCCAACAGCAATTGGTACAACCCCAGCAGCAGTTGGTACAATCCCAGCCGCAACAGCAGCAACAACAACAATTGCAGCAGCAACAACAATTGCAGCAACTTCAACAACATTTACAGCAACAGCATCAGAATAATAACGGCGGTGTTAATAATAATAATAATACTAGTAGTAGTAATAATAATGTAATTGGGATGCCGAATTTTCAGATGCAGGCTTTACAGAGGACTCCTTCGACGTCAAGGCTGAATCAAATGCAGCAGCAGCAATTCGGAATGATGAGGCAACAGCAGCAGGCGGGGATTTATGGGCCAGTGAATTTTGGGGGCGGGAATGTTCTTCAGCAACAGCAGCAACAACAGAATAGTAATATTAGTAATAACAACAATCAGCAACAACAGCAGCAGCAGCAGCAGCAGCAGCAGAATCAGTTGCAGCAACAATTGGGGCAGATGAACAGCAATAATCTGTCGCGGTCCGCATTAATGGGGCAAACAGGGCACCTGCCCATGTTATCTGGTCAACCTGCAGCGGCTGCAGCACAGTTTAATTTGCAGAGTCAGTTTTTAACTTCGGTGAGGAGTCTTTATAATGACACAATCATCTTTGTAACTCTTACAATGTGTTATGTGTTTTCTTGCTTTGGATTCATACGGATAAGTGCACTTTTGTGTTTCACTGTGAAAATTTTATTTGGAGGTTGGTTATTTCTTTATATGTTTACATCTTTATATGTGTATAGATTTAAGATGAACAGATATTGGGCAGAGAAACCGGGTAATACTGGTCCCTGTTGCGCAATTACATAAGTTTTATTTATAAAAAAAAATATAATTTTCTTTACAGATTTTTTATTCATTTAAATTAGTTGTTATCTAGTTATTGTCCTGTTTAGAAATTTTTAATATATGCTTGTTGATTGAGGTGTTGATCAGTTGAGAACTGTTGATTTGGTTGCTTCACTGTATAAATACTGTTAAAATCCTTGATGGGATATTTTTATTTAGCGAGGATTTTTTGTAAAATTATACGCGGTTCTAAGACAAGTGTGATTATGGGTTCAGCCGCGACAGAAGGCAGGATTGATGCAGGGTTCTCAGTTCCATCCCGGTAATTCTCCTGGGCAGTCTTTACAGGGAATGCATGCAATGGGAATGATGGGCCCCCTCAATTTAAGTTCTCAACTTAGAAATGGGACGCTTACTTATGCCCAGCAAAGGATGAACCCTGGGCAATTGAGGCAGCAATTATCGCAGCAAAATGCACTCACCAATCAGGTACAATTTTTACTGTTTTTGATCTCATATGTTCTTCATTTCATCTTCTTATCTGAGTGATACAGGCAAGTGCCCTGGCTATTGTTTTGTTGTTCGATTCACATGAGTCTATCTTGTGGTAACTTAATTTGTCTCTGCCATGGCACTACCTTGATGAAAATGCCACACTAGGAAAAACTTGAGCAATAATTTCCAAGATTCGTCTTCATGGAGGGATGCATGAATAATTTTAAGCCTTTAAGTGATATTCAATTTTATCAGTTTTGATGGCGAGTATTGTGATTGTGAATTAAAACATTGCTGCATTAGGTTCAAGCCCAGACTAGCACGAAACGTCTGGTATTTGTTATCCGTCTCTTTCACTTATCTTATTTTCTTTCACAATCGACTGTGTGCTTTGTGCTGCTTCCAGGAGTACAAATTCAAACATTAACTTTGGCATTCGTTTGAGTTATCATAAAGTCTTTTCCTTTTGCTGGCGTTACATTTCTTTAAGCATCAAGGCAACCTTGTACAATCCTTTTTCTCCCTTTGTAATGGAAAGTAATGATAAAGAATATTTATTGGCAATTACGATTTACACAGGTTTGCTTCCTCACTTGTCTTAGTCACGTTTAGAGATCTTATTTAATAATTTCTGAAAAATTGAAAGGAAAGAACATAGTCAAATATTTAATTTAAAGTAAAACTGGACCACACTCACATCTGTACGTTTCAGTAACATACATGAGCTCCTCGTGGCAGTGGTTATTGAACTTTCAAGCCAGTGGGTTGTTTCAGAAAGGTGGGTAGTTTGAAGCAGATAATATCATGTTAGGGAAGGAAACAATTGTTTAAGTTATTGCTATCAATATGCTAATCAAAGGTTGAGTGGAGCATCAAAATTATCATTAGCACTAGCTTAGTGGGATATGTGGATTTAAAAGAGACACTTATCTGAGGGGATCTTGATGATTATTTGGATGCATATGTTAGAACTTGTTTTTTGATCCACTTTTTCCACCTTGAGATATCTGTGAGGGTCTGAGGGATATGCTCAAAATCTTCACATTATTGTTTTATATATTAATTTTTTTGTCATTTTGTTTCAATTTGAGGTGATCCCTTGATTTCATGTTCGTATCAAGTAATAACTTGAATGGACATGCAAGGATTACCACCCACAATGGTTGATATGTGAGTTACCTTGGTGATCAACAAGAAATGTGATAAAGTACCTCTTTAAGGACTATGGTCTAAGTATGCATGTATGAGGTGAAGATTTTTTAAATATATTATTTAAGCTGACAGTAGCACCAAGGGAGAAGACAGTATATTCAGATTTTGCTGAATAGATTTTGTTGTACTGTCAGTCGTCGATCCTTTATTGCTGGAAACTTTAGTATCTGAGATTCGCTTCATCATCAGTGATGGGTATACCTCTATTTAGGTTTAGAGTAGTATTATTGCAAGCGTGAGTATCTCATTAATGCTCAGTTTGTTTCCATGGAAAATGGTGGGAAGGAAATATGAATTTCCTGGATTCCTACTCTTTAAATTGATATTCTTTCCCTTTTCTTCTTGGTTTTTGGTAATATCACAATACTTACTCTTGCAAAATTAGTCCTAAAAAGAGTTCTCCCATTTCCCAAGGTTTGATTTTATTTTCCCTATAATTTTTTGGAATTTTAATTCAACCAGACGAGTAAAAAGTCTGACGGGTTACTGATCTTATAGCTGGCCTTCAATTTGACCACTAAACTTTAATTTGTTCCAATTTAATCATCCAATTTTAAGATTTGTTTTTACTTTTGTCATTGAACTTCAATTTGTTCCACATTATTCTCCCAAATATAAAATTTGTTTCACATTGGTCATATTGTAAATCTCCTTGCAGCTGAGAAATCGCCTGCCTGGATTCGTGTCAATTCAAGTTTACAAAGGAATTCTCTTTCCAATATGGAAACATATATGATCGTTTGACATATCAAATTTAATATTAAGTTTAAAATGGAGACTAATGTGGTGACCAAGATGAAACTTGAAGTTAGGTGGCTAATTTGGAACAAATTAAAGTTCAGTAACCAACTGAGTTTTTATTCACCAAATACCTGAATTCTTTTCCTAATTTTTTTCCCGTTGTTTGGAAAAAACACACAAGGCTAGGTGAAAAACTCTACAAATTTAAATTCAGTAAAATATGAAAGTTTCTTTAGTACGTGTAACGTGGCTTGGCGTGTACGATGGATCGATGGGTTACTCACTTCGAGTAAAAACTCTTAGACTGTTAGAATTTGGGTGTGACCCGAATTCCTTGTTTAAAGTATTGAAGAATTATATTTGAAGTGCACATCAAGGAGAATCCAAGTTTGGAATGCTATTGAAGTCTTATGTCAAGTTGAAATTTTATTTTGGAGCCCATTGGGAGTTGAAAATTGATATTGGATTTGAAGAAGAGCTTGAGATGGAGAAAACAATTTGAAAAAAAAATATTTTTGGGCTGGTCCCGGCGCTGGGGCTCCTGGATGTGGTGCTGCGGCGCCCACAGACCTGTGTCGGGTTTTTCGCGTCGCTCATTTTTCATTTTAGACTCAATTTTTTGGCATTATACTTCATCAACAACTCTACTAAGAGGGTTTGGACCCCCTACATGTTCTCTATAAATATTAGGTTCTTCTATACAATTTTATAAGTGTGGGAAAATAGATTACTAGAATTATATGATCCATTGTAATTTTCTCTCTTCTCTATTATTCTTGAGTCAATAAAATATTTTAATTCCCGTGTCATATTTCTTGTTTTTATTATTCTTTTACTTGATTAAATACTTTATTATTATGCCATATACTTCAACATCTCAATCCGGTGGTTGGCTTCACTACAAGTAGTATTAAAGCCTAAGTTTAGCAGTTCCGCAAAAGCGTAGGGTTTGATTTGTTCGAGATTTTCATTCGTAATGACTTCCATGAAGTATGACATTTCACTTTTGGATCGGAGTACTAGATTTTCGCTATGACAGGTTAAGATGCGTGTAGTACTTGTACTGCAGGATTTGAATGATGCGTTGCTGGGAATTGACAAGATGTCCACAACTTTGACCGCGAATGAGAAATTATGGAAGGATAAGAAGACAGTTTTTCACATTCATCTGTCGAACACCATTCTTTAGGATGTTTTGAAGGAGAATTCAGTAGCTGCTTTACAGTTGAATTTAGAGTAATTGTGTATGACTAATGTCGGACAAGCAAGTTGAACTTGAAGCAACGTTTATACTCTCAATGGTAGAATGAGGATCATTGAAAGATCACCTGATTGTATTTAAAGAGATCGTCGCTGAATTGTAAATTTTGGAAGTAGAGTTATGATGAAGAAGATTTGGCCTTGATCCTATTGTGTTCGTTGCCAACTACGTTTTCTTCATTTAGAGACACGATAATGTATAGTCGTGATACTCTCACTATAGAGGAGGTGTATGATGCTTTGTATTCAAAAGAAAAGATGAAGCATTTGGTTTCTGAGGCTAGAGATGGAGAATTTCTGGTTGCTCATGGTGGTTTTGGAAGGGGTAGATCGAAGTTTAAGTTCAGTAATCAGATTTGTATCTACTGCAAGAAGAAGAGGCATATGAGGAAGGATTGCTACAATTAACAGTATAAAGAAAGGCGGGCTGCAAGTCGATATGGGAAGCAATCGGATACTTCAGGCGAATCAGACCTCGCGGAGAACATTGATGGAGATCTCTTGGTTATTTCTGACGTCGAGTCTAAATCAGAGGAGGATTGAATTTTTGATTGAACATCTATGTTTCATATGTGTCTTAATAAGGACTTGTTTACTACATATAAGATTGTTTCCAAAGGTTTCGTGGTTATGGAAAACAAAGCACCCTGTCGGGTTTTTGTAATTGGTACGGTCAGATTAAAACTTTTGGATGGAACAATTAGAACACTTGGCCAAGTTCGACATGTTGTTATGAGTTTTTTGGCGGAGGTGGAGCTTTAAAGGTTTGTAAGGGTGTCCAGTTGTATTAGAGGGACAAAAAAGTCTCAGTTATACATCTTGCAGGGTTGTGAAGAATTTAGAAGAGTCAATCAGCACAAGTTCAGGATCATGGTGGACATTCAATTTGGTACATACCTTTAGAAGCTCATAAATGGCCGGATTTGAAGAATACAGTTTAGTGGAGAACATTAATGGAGATCTCTTGGCTATTTCTGACGTCGAATCTAAACCAGAGGAGGATTGTATTTTTGATTTAACATGTATGTTTCATATGTGTCTTAATAAGGACTTGTTTACTACATATAAAATTGTTTCCAAAAGGTGTCGTGGTTATGGAAAACAACGCACCTTGTCGGGTTTTTGTAATTGGTACGGTCAGATTGAAACTTTTGGGTGGAACAATTAGAACACTTGGTCAGATTCGACATGTTGTTATGAGTTCTTTGGTGGAGGTGGAGCTTTAAAGGTTTGTAAGGGTGTCCAGTTGTATTAGAGGGACAAAAAAGTCTCAGTTATACATCTTGCAGGATTGTGCAGAATTTAGAAGAGTCAATCAGCACAAGCTCAGGATCATGGTGGGCATTCAATTTGGTACATACCTTTAGAAGCTCATAAATGGTCGGATTTGAAGAATACAGTTTAGGGGAGTTTAGGAGATATGGATAATACCACNGCTTGGATTCATTGGAAGAGGTGGAGTATTGTGTTTTATTAGAGAAATTAATTTTTTGTTATTGTTTAAGAAGTCAGTTCATTGGTTGGTGGAATTCGTGTCAAGGTAGATATTGTTAGAATTTGGGTGTGACCCAAATTCCTTGTTTGAAGTATTGAAGAATTCTAATTGACGTGCACATAAAGGAGAATTCAAGTTTGGAATGTTATTGGAGTCCCATGTCAAGTTGAAGTTCTATTTTGGAAGTCCATTAGGTGTTGAAAATTGGTATTGGACTTGAAGAAGAGTTTGGGAAGGAGAAAACAATTAGAAAAAAATTAAATTTCTGGGTAGAACATCCGAGCTCCCCCACCCGGCGCCGTGGCGCTCTAATGTGGTGCTGTGGCGCCCACCTGACCTGTTTCGGGTTTTTCTCTCCTTTTTCATTTTGGACTCGAATTTTTGGTATCTTACTTCATCAACAACTATACTAAGAGGGTTTAGACGTTCCCTATATGTTCCATATAAATATTAGGCTCTTCTATACAATTTTGTAAGTGTGAGAAAATAGATTACTAGAATTATAGGATCTATTGCAATTTTCTCTCTTCTCCATTATTTTTGAGTCAATAAAATCTCTTAATTCCTTTGTCATATTTTTGTCTTTATTATTCTTTTGTTTGATCAAATACTTTATTATTGTACTTTGTAACTTCAATATCTCAATTTAGCGGTTGGTTTCACAATATAGATGATTACGCTATTATCATTAAGATTGATGTTTTTGCTAATACTTATGCCATGGTTTAAAAAAACCGAATTAAAATGCCTGCCTCAATGTGGTGTGTAAGAAACGCTTCAATGTGTTATGGAGGGGTACGCCTTAGTCGTATGAGACACACTGACGGAGATCATAATAGATATATTACATGAAAGACTTTTCAATTTAGATACTTATTTTATGGAACATAATTAGGATTTCATTTTATAGATTTTATAGTATTTTATGTTGTTTCATTAGTTGTTTTACTATTTAAATTATGTTACTTGAAACCCTATATAAAGAAGGGCTTTGCATTGCAAACATTGACTTTCTTACTTATTGATGACATATTGAACCTCTAATTAGTCTTGAATTATTTGTGTGGGAAATTCTACTATATTTTTGCTCTATTAATTGTCCTAAATCTAGAGGAATTTTAGATGCAATAGCTTTATGCCTTGGAAAATTAGAGTTACTGCAATGGATGTGTATGATTTAAGAGCATCTCTAAAATGTTCTTTAAATATAAGATAATCTTTGTGTTAAAGAGTCAATTCTTAAAATTATGCTCAAAGAGACTATTTAAATTAACATTTTAAAATAGAGAGTAAGTTTGACTTTCTAAATTTGGAGAGTCAAATCCACTCTGTATAATTAAATGTTTTTAAAGTATTTCAAATTTCAATGGAGGAAAATAAAATAATAATTTGGAGGGAAGCTAATGAAAATAAAAGATAGGGGAAAGGCAACAAATATTTTTTTGGAGTAGTAAAATTCAGTGTTAAATATAAAGAGCATATTGAAGAACTTAAGAAATTTTTACTCTCTAAATTTTTAGTTGTTCTCTAAATGGTAAAATAAGTTCTTTAAAAATATAGGGTTTCTTGGAGATGCTCTTAACACATTTTATGTTGTTTCTTTTAGGATTCTATGTATTAAATTAACTGGTTTTGCAAGCCATCACATGAAATTTATGTATTTATCCCATTTAACATCACCACAAAGGGAGGCACAACCACAATTCAAATTCTACAGTGAGCTAGCTCAAGGCTGGGTTGATCCAGCATTTTTGTGAGGTAGAAAAAAGTGGAAAAATTTGGGGGGGTGGGGGGGGTGGTGCTAGGGCTGAGATTAGTTATTTAACTCTAACTGCAAGACAAATGGGTAGAAGGCATCTTCATTCCACACATTGAGGTCCATTTACACAATGTGGGCTTTTCCAATCGTCTCGTGCCTTTAGATTCTCTATTCTACTTAAACTGAAGCACACTTGGTTTCTAGAACAAACAATGTTATAAGAAAAAATTCGAAGTGAGATATTGTTCAACCTTCTTCTTTCTTTCTTTTTTTTTTAAGAACTCTGTTTATAATAAGTTGTAATATAAAATGTGAATGTTCCAAAATAAATATAATCACCTTTGACATTATCTTCATTAACCATCATTGAGCATTTTTACCTGTGATATAAATATGCTGCATAGTTCAGCCTTTGACGCTTTCTTTGGTTCGTATATTTCCACAGCAGCATTTATTGTTGTTCTTCGCCAAGTAATGGATTTGTTGAACTTTAATGTGTAATTAGTACAATTCGTCGGTTTCTCTTCTATGCTATTCTACAATTTGTTTCTATTTGCCTTCATTAAATAATAGTTTTGCATTTTTTATTTTTTTTACCTTAGAAACTACAGGTACAGAATTTAGCTAGGACATCGTTTATGAATCCTCAGTTATCCGGACTAGCTCAGAATGGACAACCAGCTATGATGCAGAACACCTTGTCCCAACAGCAGTGGTTAAAACAAGTGCCCGCTATGTCTTCTCCCAATTCTCCTTCATATCGTCTTCAACAACAAAGGCAACAACTAATGCAGCAGCATCTGGCTTCTTCTTCTCAGATTCAGAATTCAATGGGATTGAACCCACAGCAGATGTCCCAAATGGTACAACAGCAACAACAAATGGGCCATTCCCAGATGAACCAGCAGCCACAACCGCTTTCGCATCAGCAGCCGCCACAGCAACAGCAATTGATTTCGCACCAGCAGCTGCAGTCTCCAAGAATGGTGGCTCCTGGAGGCCAGAAATCTGTAAGTTTGACGGGATCTCAGCCAGATGCTACTGCATCTGGAAATACTACTCCGGGGGGAAGTTCGAGCCAAGGGACTGAGGCCAGCAATCATCTCCTTGGGAAGAGAAAGATACAAGATTTAGTTTCACAGGTTTTTAAGCTATAGTAATTTACTCCCCCCCCCAACCACCACTAAATCATATAAAACTTAATTACAAAATTCAGGATTTGGACTTTTGATTTTGCAGATCTAATTACAAAAATCAGGATCAAATTGGATAGGGATTTTGAAATAAGAGGAACATTTATTATATCTTTTCTTTTTCTGGATTCAGTAAAGGGATTATTTTAGTTGTTATTTTATTGTCGTAGTTGGATCCACATGGAAAGCTGGACCCCGAAGTTGAAGATCTTCTTCTGGAGATGGCTGATGATTTCATTGACTCGGTAAGGCTTGTGAATGCTGGACTAACAATAACATTAGTAATAGTTGAAATATAGTCTCAGGCGATGGATAATTAATTTATTGAGGTGTGAATTATTTTTAGGGTTTATTACATAGCAAATTTTTTTTTCTTTTTCTCCTGTGTGTGTTGGGGTGGGGGTAACAATTCAACATCAGCTGTTTCTAGTGTTAAAATACCACCCAAAAAGTGTGATATCCTACATCATGCCATTGTACCCTAGAGTATTGATCCTGGGTCACCATGGCTAGGGATGTGATAGGAGTAGATTATATAGGGTCAGAAATTATTTGCGATGTAGGAACTCTCCTATATCCTGTAGTTTTCCTATATATTTATTTGTTGGGATGGGGTTGGGGTTTGCGCATGTATGGAGGTGAAGGAGTTGGTGATCTGCAAGCTTAAACATTAAATTTTTGAGTTCCTTTGATGATTTATCCTGTCATACTTGTCGTAGGTTACATCATTTGCTTGCACCCTGGCAAAGCATCGGAACTCTTCAACTCTGGAAGCCAAAGACGTACAGCTTCATCTAGGTTTGTGCTTCAGGGCTTCTTTATATAGCATCTCAACCTTCAAATAGAAACAGTGCAATTCCCCGCTGAAGTTTAGGATACTGATCAATGTTATAATCTGTTAACACCCTTGATCTTATTCTTTTCATATTACGCTTCGTCATTGTATCAAAACATAAAAGGAGAATTTGAACTCTTTTCTTTTTCATTTGGTTTGTTCCATTGGGCTAATGAAAGGAACTTTTGCAGAGAAAAACTGGAAATTGACCATTCCAGGGTACTCCAGCGAAGATGGCAAACGTCCCCCAGAGCACGTAAGCATTGTTCTGCATTCAAAAATTTTACTTAATGCAGCATGGACACGGGGTTTGTTAGTCATAAAATTAGGTCTTCCTATGTTCAACTCGTGCCAATCCATGAAGTATGTGATACTTGGATGAGGTCTGGAAGCATCTACTCAACATTTTGCATTGTCATAAGTTTATGAAGTATATCAAGATATTGCTTTTTAATTCTATAACCCTTTCAACTTAATTTGGATGCCCATGTTTGACGTACTCTGTCACTTGGATATTATCAGGAAGCATTTACCCGTGTTTTTGGATTGGTGATACATTTATGACTTATCAAGAATGTTAATTTTCTATTCTGTAACTTTTTCAACTTAATTTGATTCCCATCTTAAACAGTTCAAAATATGTTCGAAGTCATTTTGCAGAAAATAAAGAAAATGTTTAAACATTAGTTTTTACTTTCCAGACTTGCGTCCGGAGTCCCAATGATATAGTTGTTTGCTATAATAAATTTTCGAGAAATTTAAATAACACCAGATGCAAAACATGTCTCAGTACTTGAATCAGCTGTTTACTACATACTTATATTGATGTTGAATTTGGAATGTCTTGCAGTCAGCCAGTGAAGTCCACAAAAAACGTTTGGATGTGGTAAGTTATATTGTTCACACTGAAATTTCACTTGTATTGTTCCCTTGAGGAATATATGACCCGTTCCTTTATAAAATTCTTGCTCAGATACGTACATCAATGGAGCCTGTCCCATCTCAAACAAATGCAAATAATGCTAAGCTGATGGGCAGACAGGCACCCGGCAACCCAGCTGGTCCAAGCCACATGATAAGATCTTCTCCAAGTTCAGAGCAGTTAGCTTCACAGTCTAATGTGCCCCAAATGCTGCAGCCGACAAACAGGTTTTGATGGCCATCAATCAGTCTCTTGCCAAGTAAGAACAGGTTCTTAGTAAGATATAAATTATGTTGTAATAAACTTAATGCCTTAATGGTCAGTAATTCAAAGCTGCTAGACTTTCCTATCTTAAATGTTGTTTTGTTTTTTAGCCGCACTCTGTCTTCCATTTCTGTGTCAACAGTCACATGCTCTTTGCAATTGTGAATGTGCCCCTGCACACACAAAGAAAAAGAAGAAAGACTCCTGTGTCTCTTTTCTTTTTTTTTTTCTTCCCCCTTACATTTCTCTCTTTTCTTGAAGCAAGGACAAGTGGTTGCCCATTATTTTCTCCCGTCTTTTTCACTTAACAGAAAATGCATTGACACCCCATAAAATTATACAAGGGACTGTATGTACTTATTTTACTATTTTTCTTCTCTGGTTCTTTTCTTAATTAAACGTCATCTGTATTTTAGTAATCAAATCTGTCTCTGAACTTTATATCTTAGTTCTCTCTCTTAATTTAGTATTATGAGCAACCTTTGTAGGTTTGTTCATATTAATTTTAATTATTCCATGTTATACAGTAATGTAGCCTCGCATTTTTACTAAATTACAAAGTCACTTCCGCGATCTACACAAAGTAGATTTGCCATTTTACTACAACCTACAAATAGTTCTATATGGAGTCACCTCTGTAGCACGGACACTTTAATTAGGGTAGCGTGTCGGACACGAGTCGATACCGATACTTCTCGGACACTGTACCGTAATCATTTTTCCTTTTATATTATAAATATTATATATTGCTAATTCAAAGTTATTAGCAAGTAACAAATATGTACTCATGTTTAAAAAATTTCAAAAAGAAAAATTAATAACAGGTATAAAACTAAATTTATACTATGTAAATGAAGAATTTTTAAGAATTTAATCAACGTGTCGATGACGTGTCGTGTCTGTACTTTTTTTAAAAATTGGTTTCGGCCTATCTGACACATGTCCGTGTCGGTGCATCATAGAGAGTCACAAATGGTATACAATCAAATTTTTAGTATAAATATTTGCACCCTTGTTAATTTCACGTCATAAAAATTGTCATCCAAGACTTAGTCCTCGCTAGGTTGGCCGTGAAATCCTTATCAATCTTCATCTCATTTTATCCATTTTTACTACATTCCCATGGTGGCCTGTTGTATATTTTGGCTGAAGATTCTGAGAAAACCTTGTATTTCACCCTTAAACTATGAATTTCCATGTATTTTGCATGTACCTTATAGAGTACGTCAATTTTCTGTCAAGCTTCATACATCTAAGCAATTTATTCCTGTGACAGGTTAAATGGAGAATATTGTTGCTGTTCACCGGTTTGAAGGCCTGCGATTATTCAGTCGGTTCAGATAATCACTTCGAGAAAGGTTTTATGGAAATACTGTGACATGCACATCCTTGTTGGATGAATAAGTTGGGAGTTTTTCTAGATTTTTTTTTTTTTTTGACATTGAAATTAAAATATACCAGAATTAAGTATTTTGAACCCCTAATGTCAATGGTTTTGACTTGCAATGGGATTTTTGTATCTCCACCCTAGTATGTTTTATTTTCTGATAATTATTCAGCAGGTTTCTATGCATTTGAGATATCAACACTGCAGTGTGCAGGGAAGTTCATTATAAAGCGTTTTTGAAGCCAATTTTTGAAACATTGGCTTTGACAATGAAGCCTGTGTGTGCTAGCATAGAGGTATAAATAGGATTGGTTCACGTGGGCCATGGGCCTTTACAGCTGAGTCCGGCCCATGCCTTGGCCCTGATCTCCATACTCTTTCTCGTGTATTTTATATGCTGATAATGTTTGGTGAATTTCTATGCAACTTAATTGCCAACACTGCACAGGAAAATTTGTTATGAGTTTATGAATCCAATTTTTGAAGCATTGCAGTACTGTGGTCCCTGCATTCCTCTACTGGTAAGTCTGGCCTGGCCTAACTGTAGAGGCAGGGCGGGCCACGTATTAACAGTCTGGCCGGACTCAGATATTACGAGTTTTGTGTACTGTTAGGCTGGTATCTTGGCCATGGTACTACATTCTCTTACAACTAGGAGATTTACTTTTTGCATTATTATGGATATAAAAATAATAGTTGAAATTGGATTCCATTATTTGTTGCCCGTATCGAAAATAAGATTGACTAATGATTTCTAAAGAACAGGGGTTACATATCTTTTCCAATTTCATTAAAGAGTTTTTATGCCTAATGTCATTTGAGACCCCAACAAATCAAGAACTTCATTGGCTGGTGTGGGTGAGATTATTTCTTGCAGAGAATTTTTTTTCCCTGGTATTAAGTTGCAATTGCATCATGCACAATCTCAAGAACAGATGTCATTGAGTGGAGTAAAGATGGGGACTTTAATTTTGTCACACTTGGCAAAAACACTCCAATCAATACTTCCAGTTTGGAGGTTCTGCAACGTATCACGTTCTGATGTAGCCGATCATGCAAGAGAAATCCTACACTCTGTGAGAACAATCCTTCCTGCATATGATGTGAGTAAATCGCCATGGGAAGCCATGACAGGTTATTTTGTGAATTGCAATTTCTTCCATATTGATAAAATCGAGTTCATTTTTAGGTAAGTCGTCGGAAATTATGGTTGAGGTGCTTGAAGCATTTAGGCGAGCTATAAAGGTTTGTTTTATTAATTGATCTATATTTAGAACTATTGCATAGTAGCTTTTCTTCTTGTATTATCAGTACAGGATGTATGAATTAATGTTGGTAAAATCCTTTAGTTACCTCTGGACAAGATTTCCTTTCTTTCTTTCTTTTAATTGGGGTTAGGGGTGATGGGTGGAGGGGGGCTAATAATCTGGTCGAGATTTATGTGTGACTGCCTTGAATACAGGTGAATGCTTATGACGACAAACGCGTGGCTGATTCTTTATATTGGTCCAAGCACTTTTTGACCCATGTGGCTGCTATTTTGATCGCGCTCGGACTCTTAGAGAGCAAAAAAGGAAAATGGACGAGGAGCTTATGTCTATTGATTGTAATAACCATATAGATTATATTGCCTGTAGAAACAAGATTAACATGATTGCCAATAAAGAGCATAGATCACAATTTTTAAATCAACCTGAAGATGTTGCTGATCTACTGAAATACAAAGCAAGGATAAGATTACAAGTTGTGAGCATTCTGAAGTTATCCCTCCCAAAATGGATGGAGGAGTTGAAATGTGCAGACTCCATTTGTTGATTCTCAGATATGTAGGCCAATACTGCACTTGAAGAATGGAGATTGTACTGGAAATGAACTTGTTGACAAGGGTCTTGCAATCCGTGTTCTCAGCATTGTGATGCAAAATCCAGGGATATTGGAGGTATTTATTTTAAAACAAGCTTTTGGTATGCACATGTGTGGGGCTGCAGAACCTTTGATTTAATTTGTGGGTTTATTCATTTAGAAAATGTTATGTGGTTTCAACTTGCTGCAATAAAACTGAGCATGAACTGCCTCAATTTTAGTGAACCATTTCTAGTTTATGGTTACGCACTACCAGTGGCTTGCAAATTCTTTTAAATGCTTTCTCCTTTGGTATTTCTCTCCTTTCTGTGTTTATCATGTTTTTAGCTTCTATCGTCATTCGTCAATTATTTACTGGGAATAATGCTTCTTTTGTTGTTGTAATTAATATTGATAAATAAACTCTGGCTGCGGTAAAGCTTTAATGTAAGTTTAGTTGCTCTATCTTTCTGAAGTGGTATTGTTGGAAATGCTGAAATCAGTTTTTGGAAATTTCTTCAGCTGCTTAAGTTGTATATTTGAAAATGTTCAACACTTGTTAGAGGGTATTGAAAGGTTCCTTCAGTTCTGAAGTGGTAATCAGTGTAACTTGCAATATCTAATAATGTAATAACGAAGTGCTTAACAAACTTGCAGATAGTGCAATGAGAAGAATAATAAAACTCAATACAGATGATGGCTAAGAAATAAGAGAAGATGGGGGAAGAATGTTGAATTTTCAATTTATCATCTGAGACACGTAACCTGATTTTGGGTTAGTGTAGAAGAGATCTAAGAGAAATAAAGCTGAGATTTTGGTCATGGTTTTACATAAAAATTCTGTACATTAAATTAACAGAAAAGTGGACATTTTAGATCTCTAATTTGCAAAAATTTTGGCAATGGAGCTTACACTTGCTATTCTTATTTTATCGTTTCATGGCCTTGCATGACATAAACCGTACTAATTGTCAAACTAAATGCCCTTTAGAGCTGCCAAAAATTGCTAGTGATAATGTTTATGGATAATCACATCATCACCTGCAAGATGCATCAGGCGACATCTGCTCAACCCTTTGTCATTCTGAGCTACCATTTTAGATGTCTCTTTAAAAGTCCAAAGTCAATGTGCAGAGTGCATTTTTATGCAAATTTCATGAGTACAAGTTTGTTGTAAGAAAGATGCATCTATTTTAGATACTAACTTGCAAAATTTTGGCAATGCTGCTTATGCTTGTGAGACTAATTTTACCTCGTATGATATAAAGAATTCTAATTGTCAAACTAAATGCCTTTCAGAGCTGCCGAAAATTGTTAGAGATAAAGATTATGGATAATCACGTCATCATCCACAAGATGCATCAGACGACCTCGGCACAATCCCGTGCCATTCTGAGTGTACTTCACCAATTTTGCGTAAAAAGGCAAAAGTCAATTTGCATGGAGAGCATTTCTACGAAAATCCCATGAGTACAAGTTTATGAAAATAAAAATCCCATGAGTACAAGTTTATGATTTTCATAGAAATGCATGGAGTCTTGGATTAAGACATGGAAGTTTCTTTGAGAGGCTTTTGAACTTCAAGAAAATCAGTGTTTCATAGCATTTCCAATCTAGAGAAGAGTATATAGTTGTAATCATACTACGTTTTCTCTACCATTACATGTTCAAATTGTTGGTTTTCAAGTTTCGACGAAAGATTGGTTTGGAACTAAATCCATCCCTAGGTTTTAATGGATATGTATGTATAGTCTTTTTGTAATGTGATCTCGATATCCTTTGGGGAAGCTTAGCAATTTTAAGAAAATTATGGTGACATTGGCATTCAGAGTGAGCTAAATTTATTTATTCATGGAAGAAGAGTGCATGGTTATGATCATGTAATTTCTGTACCATTTCATGTACAAATATTTATTCTTCATGTTTTAGGCAAAAGGTTGGTTTACACAGGCTTGATGAGCACACCCATTTGCCTATAAGAAAATTTGATTATTCAAGTCAAAGGAATCAAATCTGGTGATGAACTTGCGTAAAATTACGACCCTACATGTCTTATCAAATTATGTCAATATTTTCACATATTGCAGGCGATGTAAGTTGATAACCAGTAAAAGCTCTTAAATGATCACTCAGTTTTACTCGTGGTTTAGGATGCCCAGATTAGGCATAAAAACAAGGAGAATGTATTAAATGCTCTTGAACAATAATTATATTAATTTTTTTTTCATATATCATTTATTTATACTTGTGAGTTAAAAAAATTATTTAATTTGATCATGAAATTGATGTTATTATCAAAATAAGTAATATGCTTTATATTTAATTGTATCAACAAAAATATATATATTAGAACTTTGTCATGAGTATCAAAAAATATATTCTGACCCATTTTGTCATGAGCGTCGTGAGTTTAATCTATTAAACTAAATCTCGTTTGGCACAGGACATCTGTTATGGCATGAGTTCATTGAAAAAAAATTTAAATTTCAATCCATCCTAACATATTTTTTTGACTTCGCCCCTAAGCACGTATGTTTGGATGAACTGTACTTATTTATAAGCTTTTGGCAAGTATTGAATTACCGAAATGTCAGTAGGGTATTTAATTGAAGGACCATGCTACTCAAACAGACAAAAATGACAGGAAAATGGTGACAGATACACTTGGAGGGAATTCATTGGAAGGTGGAAAACTTTAAAAAAAAAAAGGCCAATCACAATCTGTCACATCATTCTGTTTCCCAATCCTGTCATTATTTTCTGTTTGAGTGGTTTTATCCTTAATTGAATAGTGTATTAGTCCTCTCGTAGCATTCAAAGTTGGTTATGTTTCATAACATGCAATTTTCGACAATATTCATGTAACGTGTACATGCAAACAAACAACACCTTGGTCATAAGAAATTTAGGGTAAGCTATATAATATTTTTATCACTACCTAGTATAATCCTCATTTCGTCCGGCTTGGAGCACCAGCAGATCCAGCTCCCGGCAAGTATTGGCGGCCGCCCATGCTGGATTCGTTGAAAATTTTTTCCTTATCGCTACGGCCTCCCGTGCTCACCGGTAAGTGCATTTTACACACCTATTCGAGACCTAAAATATCGATATTTGGCAATTCTTTTGATAGAATATATTCTAAACTATTGTATTTTATGTTATATAGGTTAAACTCAATGGTTTAACGAGAAATTGGAATAAACAAAAGAAAATCAAGGAAAAATGACAAAGTCCAAAGTTTGAGGACCAAATTGCAAATTCAATAGTTTATTCGAACCACAAGATGATACTTCGAAGATTGAGAGGAGACAATTGGATGGAATTAGAATTTGAAAAGGAATGGAATATGATCAAAATATTATCACAATCAATTTCTAATCACACAAGTTATATTCTAGATTTTTAGCCGAATATTAATATCCATTTTTGGCACTGTAAACATCCGAATTGGAAAATTTCTATTTCTAAAAACGTTGTAGCCCTTTGAGCTAGGTTTCTAATTAAGTTTGAATCGCCGCAATCGGATATTGGGAGAGAAATTTATGGCTAACATACTGACTGCTGTGCAGTGACAAAAAAAATCAGCGCGAGAATGAAATATTCCTTATTCGATTGGAACTCTTTTGAAAACAAAATTGGACATGATTTTTGTTTGCAAAAATTATATACTGCTAGTGCACGAGTCACGTTCAAGTAATAAAATGGACCTTTGAGTCCAGATTGTCGATTCCTCGAGAAATGTTTACTTTTAATTACACAATCTTAATCAATTTAATTTTAATAATAAGAAAAAACACACAATAAAATTTGATTTTGGAAAATATGAAAAATTAACTAAAAATCTAGAAAATAAGAAAACGTAAACACTTAAAAATTTTGGATGATAACGTGGATGTGATTCATGGTTTCGCTTAACCGTCACCTTATTAATTTCTCCACAAGTCAATTAAAAAATTATTCATTTACGATGTTAGACTCTATTTTTCAATTTTAATTAATTACCTCTCTCGAGCGAAATTAACACTAATTATTTGGTTTAACATACTATATCTTTATGTCTATTAAAACCAAATAATCGCATTAAATCTTGTGAAAATAGCTCAATGTATCACTTAGTGTTATGCGTATATTTCTATCCCCTATACAAACTTAGAGTATTTACTCTTTAGTCTAAAATGTACAATTTTCTCTCTAAATATTTCTCCAAATTCTTGAATATATTATCCCCGTGCTCTTGATTTTGCCCCTAGAATTACAAATAAATCCAAAGAAGAAGAAAGGAAAAGAGAAGAGAAAGAAAAATGAAAAGAATAAAAAAGAAGAAGACTGCCCGCAGCCATGGGCGGACGCAGACTTTTTATGTTGAGGCGCACAATCATACTTTCAAAAAGTGACGAAAAAAATTAAAGTAAGAGATATTTTATAGAACTTAGGTTTAAGCAGGCATGTGACAGGGCATTTACAAGAAAAAGCTTATCTCTACGTAAATGTTATTTGAAGAGCTAGAATCGTTTCACATATATGAATATTCTTAGGATTCAAAAATGCTCACAATGTCATGATCTTCCTTTCGGAAAGTATCCAGGAAAAAGGATCAATTGCCAATTTCTCTCTCGAATTCTGGTAAAAGCATGTGCAAAAGAAGCTTCAAGAGTTACCGGAACTAAATAACTATTTCAAGGCTAAAACACAATGTTTTCTTTGGACGCATGTAATTCAGGAGGGGTGGCATGGGCCATGGTCTATCCTAAATTTTGGTAACTCCATCGACACTCATTCCAGCTTTCTATAAACTAAATAGAAAAGAAATCTTTCTGCAAGGTTCACTTTAACTGCAACTTGAGTTAATGATCATTAGGACGCATCGTTTTAATCTAAAGAAATACACAAAACAGGGAAAGGAAAGTAATCTAAAAGTTTTTAAATTCATTTTATAGAATCTCCATTTGAATCAGAGAAAGGTAAAGACTTTAACCTAAAATTTACAAACCTTTACAAAAACACCAAAAACACTAAAAATTCAATCAGAATAAGAGCATTCACTCGTTCCAATTAAGCCCCCAACTATTTAGCAAAGATAAATTATAATATACAAAAAATTAAAATAAACCTAAGCTTAAACCTAAGCTTTTTAATTAGCAAGTTCACAATTGTCTGCTTAATAAATGGTCTTAGGTAAGGTTCTCAATCACAATTCACACTCACACAATTTAGAAATCCCTATCAATTACGTTAAAATCCCTAATTATAAATCCCTAAATCAGACAACACAGTTACACAGACACAATTAGCAAGTTCACAGTTATACAAATTCGCAGTTCACAGTCACAAATCAGAAATCCCTATCAGTTTAATCAAAATCCCTAAATCCCTAAAAGCCCTAATTAGAAATCCCTAAATCACAAAATGGAAAACATAGAATCCCTAAGGGGTTGTTCTCTTCGTGTTTTAGTTTTGTGTTTTGAGTTTTGAATTCGTTTTGTATTTTGTGTTTTGAGTGTCTGTTTTGAAATTTCCAAAAATACGTTCTTTTTGCCATTTTGAAAAACTATTTTCGAAAACATAAAAATGGAAAACGTGTTTACTTTGAAATTTTGAGAATTTTTTTAATAATATTTTATTCAAGAAATCTGATTATTCAATAAATTTTAATAGTTTAATGTTAATATAGTATTAAATAACATATAAATTTTGAAGTTAGTAAATCTTGAAATATTTTTTTTCAAATATAAAAAACACAACCTAAATTAAATTTGGCAGTCTTTATTTTTGTGCTTATACGTAACAAGAATTAACTAGCATCAAGT